TATGATCTCGTATAATAATTAACATCATCAATTTTTCTAAAAAAATGAAAATGAATTGTTTTATATTAATAAAATATAAGAATGTATGTATAAGAATTATATCGTAAGGTAATTTACGTACACTTGCTATCGAATACTTGTAGGCAATGCGACATTTATGTGCTGCCAACTAAAATACTGGAATTGGAACAATAATTTAGAAAATATAATATCGCTTTCAACAGCTTATTTAATTATTTTCATGTTTTTTATAATTACTGAAAGTGATCCGATGATACTGAAAGCTGAAGCTTCTCTTGCGAGAAAAAATAACAAATTTTTTTCAACTCGAATATCTTTTCGATATTATAATATTATCTTAGTTACACATTCTTTTCTAATGTCTATTTGCAATAGAATTTATAAAATACACTTAAATATAAAATAATAAATGACTTAAGTAATGAATATGTAATAAATAAATAATGCATTACATAAATAATGGTATAATTCCAATATAATACTACATAGAAATATCTCAAGTTGATTAATTTATTATTTAAAAACAATTAATTATTGCCGAGTGAGAATAACTAAAATTCGTTTCATAAACAATTCTTTCATCTGCGTTGTTTAAATGTATTGTTATACATTTTTAGAAAATAGTTGTATTTGAACGCTATAATAATTGAATCAATTCAACGGACAATATTATTGAATTTATGAATTGAATACATACTTCATATTATATTTATAATAATTATATTTTATATGATCTATAATAAATCATTGATTTTTCTATATAAGGTGTATTTTTTTATTGTGATTTATTTCGAAATAGGTAAGATTAATGGCAATTATCTATTTTATAGAGAATGTAAGTATTATTTTAAATTTTCGTACATTTAAGCTATGCTTTTTTTTTCTTTTTTTTTTTTACCCAATATCTTTACAATAATAAAATATATAAACAAAATGAACTTTTAATACAATTTGCAAAGCAATAATATTGCGCCAATGTAATATAAAGTATAATTTTGATAATTATAATAATAAAATATATAATGATAAAATTTAATATATAAATCTTACTTGCACATTTACCTACTTTTGGACTTTTGTACTCTCACTGACTTCTTAAATATCTAATAAATAAAATAAAAGATTTTAGAATAATTTTTTGGCGTTTTTTATTAGTTATATTTATCATCGATCCATCGATGGGCACAATATGAACATGCAAATTAATATTAAGTATATTAGGAAGTTCATTATAGCGGCTTTATGTTATTCTTAAAAGAAACGATAACTTAAGATGTCAAATTGTTCAGCCATTATCGATAATATTATTCTTATACGATAGGATATATCTTGAATATAGCAGTTTAGATATTTTGTTAGGACGGATTTACTTGATAATATAATATAATTATATCTGTAATAGTCATTTTACATATACAAAGTAAATATACAAATCTACAATATTTATGGATGAATATATATATATATATATATATATATATATATATATATATAATTTTTAAAAGGTTCGTTTTCTTATTAATTACACAATTTAATTAATAATTTAATTAAACGTTTAACTATAGCTATTTTTATTTTATTTTATTTAAACTTTCAGCCCTCATAATTACGATCACTCATAGAATAGTGATGAAAGAGGAATATTAGGTAGAATAAAAACAATAATATATAGAAATGACTATAAGAACACGATACGCAATCTGCTAAAAACTATATATAAAAGTTAAATTTTTATTTAATTAATTCTATTGTACCACATTGATATATGTTTGTTGTTATTCCGTATTGATTTACATTTATCATCGCGAAGGGAATTTCCTACAAATTTTGAATAAATATGGCACAAATTTTTCATGTTTAATTCATCAGAGTAAAGTAAGAGAGCTGAATGCTTAGTTTATATTTAGAATTATGTACGAGTTGATATCCTTTCTACCTTGAAGAATTCTCATTCATTGCATTCTCTTTATTAAATTATCCCTTCTCCCCGTCTCAGGGTAAATAATGTATTACATAAATTTTGATAAGGCAATTCAATTTAATTTCTATGTAAATTAAGATTCGACAATCCTTTACCGAAATCTTATAAAATACAAATTAACGAATTGATTTACGCTATATGATAATTCATTTTTCAATGAATCTCTAAGTGCATTTTAATACCTGTAAAATTTCTGTCAACTACATAATAAATTCTATACACACACATTCTGAATTTAAATTTGTATATAATTATGAAATATATGAATACGTATGTACATGAAATTGAAATTTAATTAATCTATTATAGACAATAATAGCAACTAAATGTTTTTTTAAAAGCTCTTTCGAGATCTTATAAGGATATTCCCTTTTTCTTTATTCTTTATCATTATTATTCTCGGTTACATAATTCACCATTTTTAACAGTGTGAGATTACAAATTATATTCAAATATCTAACTATACATAGGAAAGTATTGCTGAATTTTTTAAAAACAATTATTATATATTATATTTTTTATACTTATTATCTTTATAGTATTTTGTTCATAACAAAATGTGAGGCTAATGAAAAGATCGCAATATAGAGATTAAAATGAATATTACATCAGATTCAATGTATTATTAGTTTTAGAAAGATTTATAGTTAATTGTAAATAGAGTAGATTTTTCTATTGAATAGTATTATTTTGTAGTGAAATTTTTTTTAAATTTCCCTCATCTTATTAATTGTAATTACTTTGACATTAACCAAAATCGTTCGTAAAAATTCATTTTTAATTTTCATAATTATTTATTTATCATATTGTGTATCACGATGTCTTAAACAAATTTTTTTTTTTTATATAAAATTATGTTTCATATGAAATGTAAAGAGAAATTCTTATTCTTGATGCAATTCCATATTCTTAGTGTGGAAATTCAGTTTACAATATTTACTTTATAATCGTAACGAATTAAAATGGTTTAGATTGAAGTACCATTATAGCCGTTAGAATTAAAAAAAACAATAAATTCGTTGGGATTAAAATATTTCCAGCATCGTTCGAGATTTTGAAATTTTGTCATATAACATTCATCATTATGTTCTTTATACTAAAATTTTTATGTATACTGACTGGACGTAATAAATTAAAGTATATTTTGTTCTTTTCTTTATGCACGTATATTATTGATTTGGCAAAATATTAGATTTTTTAAATCATATTCGATAAACTAATATTAATTTATTATATTAAGTATTGCTTTCTTTGGCGAAAGTTGCATATTTCTTACGAAGCGATGCATTTCTTTTTTTTTATGCATGGACAGAAAGAATTTAAATATCTATAACATAAAAAGTGAAAAATAAACCGAAAAGGTATGAATTATTTTTCACCGTCGTTTTCAAAGATACTTATATATTTTTATTGATATCATGAAAGACAAAGTGGTAGTTTCTCTATATAATTTTGTAAATCACTGTGTTATAACATGCGCAGAACGTAGGAATTCATTAAAAAGTCTAATAAAAAATATTATTTAATTACAATAATGTATTCATAATTTGAATAATTTTATTGCATCATGATTCTTTCAAAGTGTATAACAATACATGTAAATAACGAAGATGAAAATATTGTACGTGAAAAGAATTTTCGTTTTTCGCACTTGGCAATAATTATTTTATGATACAGTAAAAATTGTCTTTATAATAGAGATTAAAAAATATTTAAATATTATTATTAATACAATAGTGAAAATCTTTGTTTAAAAAATTGCTATTGAGAGAGAATGTGTTTAACCTTGTAAATTTATTTGTAAATATAAATACTTAATTATATTAAAAAATTTACATAGAATTACTTCATAATTATTTCTTAAATTAAAAATGAATTCAAACGGCAGGTATATCATATATATATATATATATATATATATATATACATTATTTTTTTAAACATATTTTATGATATTAATTTTTTATTATATAATGATATATTTACGTGAATTTGTTATAATTAATTGAATATTTATTAGTATTCTTTTATTTTAGTTTTAGAAGCCATCCATGACTTATTTATAACTTGTTTTACGAATATGAATATGCTGGTGTAATACGCGAAGCTTTAAATAATTATACAATTGCTTCAAAGATTTTGTGTAGATACATTTTATGTGTAGATAAATAGATAGAGAGACAAATAGACAGATAAAAAAAATTGATAGATAAATTGTAATTTAAAGTAGATATATTACTATATATATGTATATCTAATATTATCATTTCATATGATTATTTTATATAAAATTTGTTTCAACACAACTTATACTTAAAATGGTGGATATTCTTTTACGGATCAATCAGTTAATAAGAATATTGGGTCTCGATATATGAAAAAAATAAGTAATTGTGTATACGTTTACGATGTATTATGAAAACAAATGAAAACAATAATGTTCAGAATATTAAAAATAATTGGTTTAATCTATTATTTAATTGTGAAAAGAAGCAAATTACATTTAAACAAATACATAAGTTGATTTGCCCCATCGTATGGGGCTACAGGGAATATCTCTAATTATTCTGCGATGGAAATATTTTATATGTCCGTAGCAGTGCAACCGTGGTAAATAAGTTTATATAAATCATATAAGAAAACATTTTATTTATACGTGAAAGATGCTAATATGAAATAAATTTTTAATTATTTAAGCCTTTTCTAAACGTTTCTATCGGCAATAGAGTAAAGCAATAGTTTTAATAATAAAAATTTATATATAATAGATTTATTTTACACACATATAAATCGATATATAATTTATAGTATTAACGTTTCGGCCCCAACAATCTCATTATTTAATTATACAGCAACTTTTATTTATTATTTTCCATTGCAGTCACATTATTTATTGTTTTCTTCTTTTTTACTTTTAATCGTTCATTTTATGTTTTATCTTTAAATTCATTGGCATATAAATTTATTATTCTAATATTTTAATATGATGAATTTTTTATTATAAATTTTCATTAGAATTCAGGAATACAATTCTCCTTTGTTTTTTAAATGCGCGTTTTCTTTCTTTCATCTGTCGTTCAGCTCCAACAGGATCATATAGCGGATCTATCGTGGGTGCGCAAATAATTTTATTAATTTCTTTACAAAGCCTTTTTTCTTCTTTCCTTTCTCTCTCTTCGTTTTCCCTATTTTCTCTCCTCTCGTCAGTTTCATCTTCATTATCTTGTTTGCATTCAGCTAGCTTGTATGGTTTAGCTTTTGGTAATACTCGTTGATATAGCTGTAAATTAAAAAGTTTAAACATTGTAATTATAATAGGAAAATTATACGAAAATTCTAATAATAATTTTCATCCAATATTAAACATGTACTGTCCAGTAGTTATTAAAAAGAAATTTATTTCAAGGTTTTTGAGCTTATTGTCAAATTTTACAAGCAAATTTACTATGAATTATCCATATATTACTAATACACGATTAGAAGAAATAAAATCAAATAAGAATAAAAATTACAATTTATAGTCTATATATATATATATATATATATAAAGAGATATTTGAATATTTTCTCATTTATCAATTTGATTGTAGATAATAATTAAAAATAAACATTTTTCGAATAAGTAAAGATAATTTTAAAATGCTTAAAATAGTTTAGTAATTTGAATGGTGAAAGTATGGCTAATTTCAGAATTTATCTATGATTTGGAAAATTAACGATATTCTTAAAACTCATTTGGGAAAGATTTTCCTCTTTCAAATTCAAAACTAATAAGTTGGTATAAATAAAATGTAATAGGTGGCGATAAATTTTCGAGAAATATTTCGAGAAATTTAACGTACCGGTATTACAAATATGGGCCGGTCGTATTCATCTCTTTCTCGTGGCTTATCTTTTACAACTGGTTGGCTAACGTATTTTGGCTTTGCTAAATTATCTAATCTTGGAGTGGATTGTGCGTTTTTCGCCGATTCTTTAACTTTAAGTGGATCTTTCCTACAAGTTTTCATTTTCCTTATCCTTGGTTGAGCCAGTTTTGTTGTTAACTCGGATGCTAAATAAAAGCAATTTATAATGAAATTTATTATCTTTTAATATCATATGTATTTTGTTTGGCTTTCAATTTTGTTAATGAAAAATATATTATATAGATAATATATAAATATTATATAAATATTGTAATTATAATTTTGAAATAACCTTCGTGGTTTAATGCACTTTTTGAAATTTTTGGTGGAAATTCTTTACATTTCGTATTAACAAAACGCCAGGAGTCTTTATCCGTTTGATGATCTTTCATCTTCTTATTTTCTTCCGCATCCTCTTCTTTCTCACTTGTTCTCGATAAATATTCATAATCTACTCCTTCCTTTTGCCTTTGTTTACTTAATGCTTGTTTACCCCTTACTTTAAGTTCTTCTACAATTCTCTGTTTCATTTTGATCGCGTTTTCGGATTCATTATCCTTTAACATTTTGTAAGATGGTAATGCTAAAAAGTCTACCCACGGTGATATCTGAAATCAGCGTAAATGTATCTATTGTTTATCTACTTCTAATTAATTTTTTGTTGTTGTTGTCGGCATGACATTAATTATTTTAAGTCAAAATCGAAAAAATCTCATTAGATTTTTATTAAAAAAGAAAAAAGAATAAAGAAAAAAGAAGAAAGAAAAAAAAAATCAATCAAAAAATTAGAATACTTCTTAGTGTAATGTGATGAAGCGAAATATCTTCTATTATGAGATTTAAAATTGTTTGAAACCCATGATTAGAGAATTTTAGAGTACTAAAATTTTTAATCAATGCGAATGATCATGATAGTGAAGTGTGTTAATAAAATGTTTGTCGAAATAAGAAGATTCTATCGTCCCGCTTCCCTCTTCTGTGTATAATGTCGAAATTAAACATAAATTATATATAAATCAAAGTATCGTTGATGCGCGTAGAAAATTCAAGGCAGACAACGTACGTACTCGTATTCATTCGATTCTACTGCTATTAATCGTATAATCGAAGTACCTTCGTCGGCTTTGCGGCATAGCAAATCATGTCCTTCGATAAGAAGGTCTCGTTAATTAAGCCCTTCGGCTGGGCGAGCATATTGGTCCTGTCATTCGGCACGCATATCCAGCCTCGTGGAGTCGCGTTTGCCAGCTTGCAATCATCCGGCTCGTTTCGCTTCTTCGGCTGACTGAGCTTGATAATGAGGTCGGTGGCGTTGTAGAACAACGCCGGGCACCTCACACCCCATTTCTTGCAGTTGTTGCCGAACTTTGGACATCGCGGCCTGGCGAGCCGCTTCAATCGCCTGGTGGCCTTGAATTTAAGGGTGCGGCTGCAGAGGAGGCGAGTGATGCAAGGAAATTCGTTGAAGTCTCTCTTGGGCTCCGCGAGAATTGTCAGTCGCGGTATCAGACAAAATAGTGGCTTAGATTTCCGGAACTTCAACGATTAATTAATAATAGGCATTAATGGAGGTGGGTAGGTCGGTTAATAGGTAATTGGGACAAAGGGGGCGTAGATTAAAAAGTTTTCATTCTTTTTCAATTGAATGGTCTCTTTGCTTTCTATCCCTACATCAACTCCCGAGATATCAATGTATTAAACGAAGCATTCGTAGTTTAATCCTGTAATTGTTTTATTTAATTTCTAACTAATTATTTGGAGGTGAGAGCTGATGAGAGCGTAATTAATAGTTGGTTTATTATTGGTGACGGATAATGTTGTAATATCAATTAGTGCGCACAGGGTAATAATTAAAAGCTTACTTGAATTTATTAGAAATACTTTATCTAGAGGCTGAGCTTTTTTGTTTTTTTTTTTTTTTTTATCTGAAACGTTATTTGAAATGTTAAACATGACTTAATAATGGATGGTGGTAGTTAAGCGTTGTTTTGTCCACGATTTCCACAGCATAATTTTACGTGAAATTAGGATTATAAGGTAAAGCAATGATACATACTCGTGTCACGATTATTAGTATTGGTATTAGTCAGTTAATCTTAAATAATGACTTTGTGAATGATGGCAAGTATTTCATTTTAATGACCTTCGAATAATTTATTACGATTCGAATAATTCCACTTTGTTAAATATAGTTTCATTAAAAGAATGTATATCGCAATATTTGTACATACTACGTCTTTTTGGACTATTAGCTTTTTAGGTTTTGCATTCTCTTTTGCCCATGTGTCAAATCGTGCCCAATCTTGAGGTGTTACTAACCTTCCTTTTAAATTCAATTTGTGTGGCTGGCTTTTCATCGCCAATGCATTCCTTATGTAATTGTTTTCAAAAATTAAATTTTATCATGTACTCTTATGTGCCGCACATACTTACATAGTTAGCGTCTCTTTTGACTGCCTTACAAACTTTTTACGCACTGCATTATGATTTATCACATTATTATCGATCAACATTTTTTGCGTTTTTTTTTTTTTTTTTTAATATTTTTAAATTAATTTGAGATATCCATTATTACGAAAATAAGCATTTTGTATTGAAAATTTTGCGGGTATGAAGCGTCGTGGGACAAACGTGACAATACATGTGAAGGTAGTTTTAAATGAAAGCAGCTGAATTTTATTTTAAAAAAATTTATTTCACAATGATAAATATTACTTTTATAAAAATCAATGAAGTACGAAAATGCATATGTATATAAATATATATATATATATATATAAAGTTCGTAATTTAATATCAAACATAAAATGGACGGCATTAATTGCATTGGAACTACTTGGCTATCGACTAAAGTATCGATTAGTCTGTTTAGTAAATCGTAACAAATATTTTCATTTACCATATGAATAATTGGATTGCATAAGACTCGTCATACCATATAGAATGCCAATCATCTTGTCGATCGATTCTTATTGATTAAAGTTAGTACATAATTTATTATTTAAAATAACATCACTCAAACTTTAACATTAACTTTAAAATTATCATTCAAGACAATATAAATTATAATCAATGATACGACAAACGACCTTCCTTTTTAAGCTCAAACTTAGATAAATTTTAATTTTAGACAATATTACTCGTAAACGTGATTTTTTTTTTTTTTTTTTTTTTTTTTTTCAATTAATTGTACTTGATAATCCTCACAATTTACAATTCATTAAGCATTTTCTTATCTCTATTCTACTAAACAGACTACCAATCCGCTTTAGCCAAAAAATTATAGTAGAATTTATATTTTCACTTTCTATTACTTATACGCTCTTTTATATTATCCTTATATTTAATGTAAATATACTGTAAAATAATTATATACAATTCGTAAATTGTCATCGCGAATAATACCATTAAAATTTAAGGCAAGTGAATTTTTACATTTCATTACGTTTCACTTATATTTTCCTTCCTCTCTATTTTTCATTGATTTCTTAAAGGCACTTTGAATATCTTAAATATTCATAGTTATAAAGAAGTTTGTACGAAAATTGCACTTATATTACTAAAATTGTTCTCAATAATTATTAAGAATATAAAAACAAAAGTGTAAAATTTCCGAAACATTAATTTCACAATGCTTTTTTCAATTTTTTTTTACGTCGTATAAAAGTAATCGCAATGATCGTAATAATCGTAATAATCGTAATAATAATAATAATAATAATAATAATAATAATAATACAAAGTTGAAATTGCTTCGGTGTAACGAACATTACGAAAATTCTAATATTCTATGCAAGCAGTTGCGTGAGAAGGGTAAATCGGCATTTTATCTTCCGAAAACAAGCGTCATTGCAATCGTGACAATAGTTCCAATTAACGAATACTCGATGGAAGATGATCCAGCAGTGCAATCGACGATTCTTCTGGCTCTCATAAAGTCTTGTCCTAAATAAGCGCTGAATTCTCGTTTCTCGGGTGGAACGATCGTGAGCTGCTGCGTCGCGTCTTGAAAGATGAGGTCACTGAAAGGTGGCTGACTAAAGAACATACCGAATGTAAATTCGTCCTGTTCCTTGCTACCGTAAAACTGCTGTGCGTAGATGAGTAGATTTGCGTACGCGTTTATCTACAAAGATTTTATTAATTTTTAAGATATTTTCTCTTTCACCCTTATTTCTCCTTCTTTTTCTATGGTCAATTAAATTTTAATTAGAGCTAGTATTTACAAACGCAATCTGACACAATTGAATGTAATTTTTAATTACTGTCTTAATATAACGACTCTTTACGATTAATCTCATATAGGATAATTGAGTAAGTATTGTTTGATCGTCATATTCATACATTTTCAGTATATTTACACGTACATTCAAGTACGCATACAATATGAATATTGTTCACGATTGTTTTTCCTCTTAATCAATATATCATAAAGTAGTAAAAACTACATAACAATTGCTCTGTCAAACGTCACTAAATAACGTAAATTTGAACAACGAATGTCCAAAATTTCAATTATAAATAGTCCTAGTCGGAAGGCCTTTATAATGATTAATTTCTTCAATAATATTATGAAGCAGAAGAAATTTTTTTCAAATTAAAGTATCTCGTAGCCTTGCCTTACCTGTGTTTTATTGTATCCGTAGTAACCGCCACGCGTGACCACGGCATTGGCCGCGACCTTCCCCAGGTTGCAGCTCATGTAATCGAGGGTGGATTTTCGTGTACCATCGGGGCACAGCAATTGAAAATCTTTGGTAAATGTGTTGCGCGCCCAGAACTCACGACGTTTGCCGTCCGTATTCTCGGCGACAGTCGTGTGCTTAACAAATGCCACATCACCACCGCCTTCCACGAGGCAGCGGAACGCCCCCGTGTGCCCGTAATAGACTTCCGAGGCGTCGCGACGACAATAGCGATCCTTCGTTCCGTGACAAAGATCGCACATATTGTCATAAGGTACTCCTAATAAATTTGACATCCATTACTTTACTCATTAATGCTTCGACAATCATAGTTTCAAAATAGATATCGAATTTAGTCATTAAATGTGCTATCACTGTTTTCGCTGAATCAAGTTTATCCTTTCCTGAATCTTTTATTACAATGAGCGTATTCGATTTATCAACACATAAGACGGTTGTACAAATTATAAGGAATGTCTTGGAAAATTAAATGATAAGCGATGAAGATAAGCATAATTGGTCAAAAAAAAAAAAAAGAAGTATTTACCAGTATTATACTCCGGACTAAGTGCACCAGGTACGCAGGATTTGGTAAAATATTCAGCTGCAGCTCGAACGGAATCGCAACCATAGCCTCTTATCCAGCTATTTGAAAGTAAATAAGCTAGTGGATATACCCAACCAGCGGCGGTATTTATTCCTGGATGACATGTATATTTGTTTTTAAGATATGTTAAATCTGTATTATCATCTTCCTCTTTTGCCACAGCGACAACATAATAAGCTGGAGCACCAAGATTGTACACCTCCGAGACAAAGGGTATAAGATCATAACGTAAACCAGCTGTGTATACGTCACTGGCGTCCAAAACCGTTACATCGGCTTGCCTGCGATCATTAAATCATCATCTTTTTATTCTTTCAGCTTAGTTGCGTAAATGAATTTTTTAATAAGAAGAGCCATAGCTTCATTACGCTTTAATTATTCTTACATTACATGTAATTGTTTAATTAGACTTACCCATTCTGTATGGCTTGCATACAGTGAATTTGGCTATGGCCTTTGAAGCACAATAGTTCTGGCTTCAATAGTTGAGCTTTCATGGCAATCTAACGACAGAATAAGTTGCTTATTTGTATTACTCGTTTGCTTATGTAATCTAATATTAAATGCTTATGGTTCTACCTTCATTTTTATACATTTTTCTAATTCAGCCTCCGATGTGACGCACAAACTCATTCTATTTACTGGGCATCGTCTTACAGCATAAACCATATCTAAAGATTTTTTCATGTATCCAGAGAAAGTTTGATCGGATTCTTGTATACGAACAAAATCTTTCGCTGAATCCTAAATTGGAAATATAAATTTGAATTTGAAATATCAATGTTACTTTTAAAATGAAAATAATTATAATATTTTAACCGAATTAAATGTTTAAAGTGTACTCCACGATTAATTTAAATTAAATTCAACTTACTGAAAATAAAAGATTATGGTGAATGCCATAACGCGGGGCAGATTCAAATAGATAGAATTTTTCGATTGTTTCGATATTAGTTTCCGGAGTACTGTAGAAGTTTCTATCTCTGTCGAAGAATCCTGTTGAATTCCAAGAGGCCATGTCATTATAGTTATTACGATTTTCTTGATTTCTATTGTACTGATTGTATTCTAAATCTTGTTCGCTTTCATAATTCTTTCCCTGGTTACCGTCAAAACGATTATTGTAAAATTCATTATTGGACGAGCTAGTGGAGTTTTCATGTTTTCCAAGAATCTTAACAGCTTCCTCGAGGAATTTTTGATAAAGCTTCCGTTTATCGTGATTTGTTGCTGACGAAATCACAATAGCATTCGATGGAATTTCTCCCCAATTGCAACTAGCAAATTCATCTACAGGCTTACGCGAACCATCTTGACAAAGCAGTTCAAACTGATCTTTCGTTACAGAATCTAAATATAAATAATAATTATTTAATCCAACTCTACTTTTCGATCGTTCGAATTTCACTCAGTCCTCACTAAATATGAATAGCGATAGCTATATTTAGCTCACTAAATATGAATAGCGATTGAAAATAAGCTTACTCAAATCAAAATTTGTTGACGTCATTTCATTAACAGTCGTATGAACGAGAAATGCAATATCTCCAGCTTCGACTAAGCATCTGAACGCGCCTTCGTAGCCCGCGTAAGGATCTGCGTTTGTACATTTTCCTCCGGGAACTTTGCCGATGCAAAGTTTACATAGTTGATCGGAATTATCACCCAATGGATTATACTTGTTAATCAATGAATTAATAGCGCAGCTTGGGCCAAAGAATTTTATTGTAGATTTCACGTGATTATTACAGTCTATTATTTCCATGCCGCCGTCCTTCATTAACTAAAATAAATATACATGCATATAATATATATATATATATATATATATATATATATATCAGCATATTAAATTTTTAATTCCTACTATATTCTTATTGATTTATCTTATTTATATAATTAATCTATAAACAATTATTTTGAGTTTATAATAGTACTTTTATACTTTTATCAATGTTTATTTACTTACTTTTTTTCTTTTTACTATTTATTATTAATATTCGTTTTAAGGATCTAATTTAAGTAAACTATTCGTAAACGTCAAAATTAAATTTTTTCTCACACGTTTCTCATGCATTTACAACTTACGGTATAAATAGGTGCGACCCAACCAGCTAACGTTCCAACTCCAGCAAAACATGCTTTTTTTCCACGTATATCTCTAATGTGTAATACATCAGGTAAGGAATTCTTTTTTACGACAGCAACGGCATACTGATAATTGACTCCGCTTTCATAGATTTCTTGCATTATAGGTACCAAACTATGATATCTTCCACCAACAAATACTTCACCAGCGTCGAGCAAAGTCAAGTGTGCTTTTTCATAATCCAGCAGAGCCATACATTCCTCTTTGCTAAATGCTTGCTTACATTTTATAGAAATGTAATAATTTCTGAACGAAGAAATTGCTCTGTCAACCGCTCTCGCAAATGCCTCGCATTTATTTTGCTCTTCTTCCGACACAGTGCACCACACCGCAGTATTATTAAGATTTTGACCTATTAAACAAAATTGTATTTTAGTATTTGCCTCGATCTTGTTGATTATTTGCTTAAGCACTATATTAAAGGTAAAATTTTTTTTTGTAAAAAATATTTACAATACAAGCACCATTGAAATAAAAATATATTATAATAAAAAGGAAATGCATAATCGATAAAAATTTAATCTTATTCCCATTCGTTAACGAAGGTATTTTAATTACTTCAATTACTTGTAAAATAATATAATAAATAGCAATTCTCACCTGCGCAAGCACGAAGTACTGTTACAAATATCACCAAACTAAAAACTATCCTTAAACTATTATTCCCCCTCATTTTATCGTCCGATTATTAACTAAAAAAAAAAAAAAAAAAAAAAAAAAAAGAAATAAAAAACCAAAAAAACAATGAATAAACAAAATTTTAAATGCAAAATTAAAGGAGTCGGAACGGAAAGTGATGACACGCCCTGGTAAAGTGGCATGCATTAGAATTCGGATCCAATAGCATCGGACATACAATCCTCCATACGCAATGTTAATCCACGCACACATAGCCGACATGCGCAGGCGGCTTTTTTTAATTCTATGCGCATACTGTGTAAGCTTATTGGGGGTAGGGGGGGGGATAAGCAGAAACTATAGCAAATAGCTAAGATATCGTGACATAAGTGTTAAATAAAAGTACGCGATTATTGAAAGTAAATTTGAATAACCTTAACTTATAACTTATATTATTTTTGGAAAAATATTTTTCGCATTCTTACGTATAAAGCTGGAAATGACTCACGGTCTAATTGTCCCTAGAAAGTAATATTTTGTGTCCGTTCCTTCGCATCCTTTAAATATTATCACACTCTACATTACCACTAATGTATGTTTGAATTGAGTTATTACACATACTGCTTTACGAGATAAAAAATAGTTCGAATTATTTTAAATGCTGATTGCTGCAAATTAATGTTTACACAGTTTATAGTTTTTTTTTTTTTTTTTAATTTAGAATGATTATTTTAATACAGATGGAGTTTACTTAGTTGTCAATAATTTAGTTATACGAGCAGAATATAGTCGACCGATGTAGTAATTATATTTAACACTTGTATGGATATTTATATTTCTGTTTGTTCAAATAAATTATTAGTAATATTCTGGTGGTCGTCTACTTTCCTAAACTCTCTCTCGAGACACTCGAATCAGTGATTTACGAACCAAAGTTTATTCGGCTAAATCATTCGTATTATCCCAGAGTATATTTTACTATTATTGCACAAGAATTATCTATTATCTGCTTTTCAAAATTTCACACACCTACCAAGTTTCTTTGCGTCCTCTATTGTTATTCGTAATTATGCAATAATTTTATTCCTTGAATGACTCTAATTAATATTTATACGACTTCCATATATTAAATATTTGATTATCTTATACTATCTGCCGATTGTTGCTTATGCAAAATAAATTTTTCTCGTTTTTCATGCCTTTAATAATAATTATTTTTCCTAGGATAAACAGAAAAATCTATATTTTTAAAATTTAGTTAAACATAAATTTTATAAACATAAATATATAAATATAATAATGCGAGAGAGAAAAAAAAGAATAAATATATCAGTGTTTATTGTACTTTTGGATTTTTTATGTTTATTTATTTCTGTAGGGTTAAACTCGAAGGTCTAATTATTTATTTTATATAATCATTTCAATCAATTTTGTTTACAAACTCTTCGGATTGAATCTTAAGGCCTTAAGCCTTTATATATTTATCGATTAAAATGCATTAAATAAGAAACCAATGGCTTCCGAAATTTTCGCGAGATTAAGTAATTGAATAAATAATTAAAATTTTCGTAAAATTTATTACATTATTGAAATCAAAACTCAGAATCTGGGACTTAACGGAGCGAACACGAGTCGTCGATAATTCGAGCAGAAATAGAATAAACATTCTAGTCAAATTTGAATCCAATGGTCTTTGTCTTTTTCGAGTGTGTTTATATCGGACAGATTGCTTTTTTTTGCGTTTTTTTTGTTTTGTTAACAATGTATTCTTTTCAAACGTGGATGTAGAAAAATTAATTCTTATACGTTTGAACGAATCGTTTATCAAATAATTGAGATATTTGTTCTTCTGCAAATATTAATATTTTGTTAATAGTTTTAGGTTAAGTTGTTAAATTTTGTTAATTTGTTAATTTATGTTAGTAATTGTCATTTCATAAAAGTGATTTTTCAAATAAATCCTTGAAATATGTTTTTATCTCGACAAATTTTGAATCACGGATTCAGAATATTATTAAAACGCCTACCAAATACGATAGGTATACAAAATGTACATAATAAAGTTATTTTCTTACAACACAGTAATTTTTCTTTGTCAAGAAGAAGCTTATTAGAAGCAAATAGTAATATATTATCAGAGAGTGATAATAGTAATGAAGTTGAAAAACAAAAGTTGGGACAAATCAAAGCAAAGTTAAAAATTGTATTTACTTGTAAAAAATGTAATATCAGAAGTAGTAAAATTATTTCGAAACTTGCTTATGAGAAAGGAGTTGTAATCGTTCGTTGTGATAAATGTAAAAATAACCACTTAATAGCTGATAATTTAGGATGGTTTGATAACAACGCATGTCGAAATATTGAAACAATTTTGAGAAAAAAAGGTGAAGAAGTTAGAAAAATACAAGACGATCAAGAGGGTTATTTTGAAGCTATCGCTAACGAAACATTCAAAACTGTAGCTGCCATAAGAAATGAAGCAATTGATAAAAAAATAATCGAAGAGGATAATAACCAATTAAATGTCCAATCTGAAAACATCGAAAATTATAAGAATAAATAAAAAGACGCTTATAAACTTTTTAAAAAAATTTATTGTATATTTATGGTCCTTTTTTTTTTTCTTTTTTTTGAAAATATACAAAAAAAATACAGTTTCTTATAACACATTGTTCTTAATAGCTTGGACAAGCTTAGCAATATTTTATTATGACAGACTTTGTTGAGAATTCTTTATTTAGATAAAAAGAGCTTAAAACAAATAGAATTACTTTATCGAAGAAAAAATTAATTTGCAATAAAACATTTAATAATACTGTTAGCTAGTTAAGAATGATTTGTAATAATAAAAATGTCTTATATTAATTAAATGATAAATATTACAAACTGTTAAAATGTTGTTCGATAGATTTTAATTAAACATGAAATAAAACTTTACTTATAAGCACATTGTTAATTTACTTTTTGTATTGAAAGAAGAATGTATTAGATAGATTATCATTAACGGTCGATGGAAATATGTTTCTTATCAATTTTATAATATGAAATAGAAATTTTATTCAAATATAAAACTTTAAATTTGATATACAAAAATCCTTAACAAAACTTAAATAATTTAAAATTCTTTAATCATTTTATAAAATAGTCATTTAAATAATAAATTTAATTACAATTTTATAAAATTTGAAGAAAAAAAAGATGAAGAAGCTAAACAAAGTATAGTGGACAAAATTCAATAAAAGTTAAAGCTAACAAATTCTTATTAAATTAAGAAATATTGGTTCTGCAAAACTTGTCCCTTCTTATAATATGACAAGGCACACAAGAGACTATCAACATCATAAATGACTCAAAAAATTTTGAATTTTTTACTTTTGATTTTTTTTATGGCAAATCGTAAGTTGTAAAAATTTTTTGCTTGTGCTCATAGTCTCGCATCATTCTTTGGTCGCTTTAGAGACATATCACGATTAGACATTTTAGGTACCTCATAACCTACACTTTAAGTATGAAAGTGAATGCAATATATATATATAAAATATCATTTAAAAAATATAAACCTATTCTGATGTCTTATCAGAAGTTAATTCGATGTAACAATAACAACAAGTATAATTATATGACAGTCATAGTATAAGTATAAGTACACTGGTTTGACTCTGAGAGTTGAAAGATCTGATAAAAATTAAGAAAAATTTGGTACGAGTTTTTTTTATCCTATTACTACAGCTACTCCTACTAATACTACTACTACTATTAATAATAATAATAATAATAATAATAATAATAATAATAATCATCATCATCATATAACAATAAGATACTAGATCAAGGTTTCGATCAGTCAATAAATGTACAAGACTTGGTCAGAGATTTGAACAAGGAACAAGATCAATATCGCATAAACAAAGTATGAGAATCACATCAGATATTAAATACTAGTTTAAATGTATTCCTTAACGTAAAGGAAAGGCTTCAAATTTCTTAAAATCAATTAAAATGTGATAATAATAATAGTAATTAATGTATACATGCGCATGTAGTTACAAAAATTTTTTTCATATAAAAAGTTTCTATATGTATTTTTGTCGCTAAAATTTTATCCCTTATAATTAATAAATTATAATCAATAAATTCTCTCTAAATATTTCCATAATATAAAATAAAAAATACTTAAAAAATGTATTAAATAATAAATTTGTTTATTAGCTTAAAATTGTTTAAATTATAAAAAAAAAGCCGTTAAAAGGAAACTTGGCAATGTTGGTAATATGAGAAAATCAACATTATATAAATAATTTGATGTAACGCATGATATTGCGATAGCTTTTAAATAATGTATTATTAATTATTAGGAAGTATTGTCTATTTAACTTTACTAAGCTTTTCTAATAATCCTATTGATTGTAAGTAATTTAAAGCCAATAATTTTTTTTAACTTCAAACTCGTTTAGGTTTTGATACAATGGCATATTCGCTATCATTAACGATTTTGTGTTTTGGCTCCATCATATTATTAGATGTAGAAGAATTAGACTTTTTTCTTATTATACCGTAGCCATGATGATTGTCGTCTGTCAATCTAACTGCATTCATATCTTCAACGACATCGTAATTATTGCAATTGAGATTGGAATCTAACGAAGCTTGAGATATAAGCTGTGAGTTCTGAGATATGGTGGAGCAATTTGGTGTTCTATATCCTGGTTTTTTCTTACTTTTATATATCGATCCAAAATGCTGCAATCTATCGTAATCTGGTGGGTCGTTTGGACTGGGAATATTATGTATAATTGAGGAGGAATTGCTTTTAGTAGAATTTTGCGGAGATAATGGAAACGACATGGTTTCATAATGAGGATCTTCTAAGCTGTCCTTCTCATTTTTAATTTGCATTGATTGTTTTAACCTCTCGGTATGGGGTACATTATCTATTCCATGGGTCTTCCATGCGTCACTTCTGACTTCAACTAAATCGTAAGAATGCTTTTCATCGTCGGTAATGACAATGTGCTTTTGGGATGAGTCGGGTGATGTGGAATTTAATTTTCTGTATTTTCCAGAGCTTGATAGATCGGAAATTTCACAGTCAAATGACTTTTTTTCTAACTTAGATGTAAATACAGGTTTTCTTGGAGGTTTTATTGGCTTTGGCTTAGCTGGTAATGGAGGTTTAACAGATTCCATAGGAGAAATTGGAGCTAGTAATAAAGGCTTTTGTGAATTTTGAGAAAATGATGGAATGTCTAAATCAATTAGATTCTTTGAACTATTCATGGAAGGTGGCAAGGGTGATCGAGATCCAGCTTCCATTGATAAGGCAGCGTGAAATTGAGCATCGTTGCATTCTACGGTTGGGCTATTATCGCCGTTCAGCATTTGCTTCATTTTCTTTTTATTCGAGACAAAGCACCTGAAAATTTCCAACTGGTTTTTGTGCTCTAAACAAAAGGCACCTTCTCCAGAACCACATCTTCTTCCAGCTTCGAATGTAAATTTTCCATCTCTATAACCATATTTTCTTATGTACTGATAAGGCCACGTATACATCATTCTACTACCATCCATTAATTTCATTTCAGTTGCACCAACTATCAACGTATAATTTTTACATAGTTCGAGGCCACATTTCTTCGAGGCATCCGTTTCAGCTATTTTAACAGAGAATACGCCCTCTCCACTTGTGCAATATAAATCATTATCTTCTTCTACAGTGACATTTGACGCATCGTCTTTGAAGGCAACAGATTGAAATGCACTTATCCAATTGGCCATCTCTACTTCGGAGCAGCAACCAAAGTGATGGACTCCCGTTTTTGTAACCAACTACAAACATATTTTAGATTTTAATATGTACGTATATTTATATATATATATATATATATATATATATAAATATATATATATATATATGTATATTACTAAGCCAACATTATAATCAGAATATGAATTTATAGGACAAATAGCTTAAAGCGATATAATTTACTAATTTATGCCATTATGCAATTATTTAGAAGTTTGCAATTTAAAAGTTTGTAAAATACTTAATTGTACCTTCTTTATCTATATAAATATACATATATATATTTAAAACATTTTCAATATTTTTAACATAACATTTTTCTGATTATAATAGTTTTATTGAAAAGCAAAACTATAGTACGAACAGTGAAAACATGAAGTTGATTACTTGGTGCAATTTTTACACATGCTTCTAAGGTAATAATGCGCTGTGTATTCTGTTGAATTAAAGCTTCTTCTTGATTGTCATAAATTTCTAGTCGCTGAATGCCATACTTACTAGCTTTGAAAATTTGGCAAAATTTCTTATGCCACGTTTTCTGAAATTTTAATAAGAAATATATAACTTATCAAGGCAAAAAAACTGTATTTAAGAATGACGATTTAAACTATCAATTAATAAGTTTATTGCATTATGTTATTTTACTAGAAAAGAATTTCTTTTTCAAGAAATTTTTTTTAAAAGTTTTAAAACCTTATTTCATTATGCGTTAAGATTTATGATTAACACATTACAATTAAACCAAATAATTTCTTAAAATCTATTGGCAAGAATACAATAGTAAAGTCTAATTTTTAACTGCATTATCTTATTACTTTTAAAAGAAAGTTTAATTAAAACTTTAATTAAAACTTAATTTCAATTTAAACACCATTACTTTCATTACTAAATTTATTTACAATTACATACACATAATCTACTGGTCGAATGTGAAAAATAATAAAAATGTAAGCAGTGAAATAACAAGTCCAGAAATAATTGAAAGAAATTAATATGAAATTTTTATAGAAAGTCATAATGTGAAATTTAATAGCAGCAATTTGTTACTTGCAATTGTATATTTTTAAAATATGACAGAGCGCGTTTATAATTATCAATGTATTTCAAATATTATCTTTCGAATATTTTCGTTTTATATATGCGTCTGATAATAGGTCCTAATACAATGTGTGTGTGTGTGTGTGTGTGTGTGAGAGAGAGAGAGAGAGAGAGAGAGAGAGAAACGCGTGTTTGGAGAAAGGATTTTTAATCCTAGTGTACCAAGTAAATTGTCATTGTTTCGAGTTATGGGAAAAACGAGAGGTAAAATTTTTTAGCAAACGTAGATGAATAATAACGATGGTTTGTAGGTTAGAGTTAAATAATAATTGAGAGAGAAATGATTAAGGTGACTGGAAAAGCTAAATAAGTGAGATACGTGTATTCGGATACGTGTTAGCCAGGTCAATAAGAGAGTATAATGGGGAAGAGGAATTTCCTGCCGCTAATAAAACCAAACAACCGGATGGAACGTTAAGGTGATAAAAGAGAATAACAACATAAATTTATCGCACTGCAAACCTTGAGCTGTCCCAGCATCCCCTGTGGCGGAAGCAAGAGGATTCCCTGTAGCAGAGGCTCTTCGAGCTCCATCGTCGAGCGCACGAGACACTAAGCTTGTGGAAAATTAAGGGCAGGGAGAGGGAAAAGGCGCGTGAGAAAGCCCGCTGTGCACGAGGGGCGCGGCGCGCACCTTTCCCTTCTTGCTCACTACAATAAAAGATAAAAAGGGGGAAGCGTATGCGTGCGCGCGTGTATTCGTCCGCTCCTCTTCAGCAG